CAAGGGGTTAGGATGGCGTGGAAGAGCAGGGCCCAAACTCCACAGGGTCAGCGCTGCAGAACATAAGGCGAAAAAATCGGAACTGCGGCTCCCACCTCCGAGACCATCCCCGCAGAGCTGGGTCACAGACTCACAAGCACCGTACCCCCTAGAAAGGGGCACTCCCTTCATTACCATGCTCTGCTCTGGTGGAGCCACTGGAGGAGCGTCAGTCTCATTAACAGATGGACCGGACGCTTGGCTCTGTTTGCTGGGCTCAGGACAGAAGGACGGGCAGACCGTGACCTCTCTCCTCTCCTGGCTCTCACCATTAATGCTCCGTGACAGGCCTTCAGAAGTTAGCAGTGAACGTTCCTCAAGCTAGCCTGGCAAAAGCCTGATCTCTAGTCACGCAGCTCAGGGTTTATCTTCTCCTTCCCTTGGGAGCCGTTCTCAACACAGCCCTCTCTGCCTGCATCCGGCTCCGAGCTGTGGGGCCCAGTGCAAAAGCGGAGCTCCCCCACAGGAACGCAGGGTGAGGAAGGATGGCAGAGACACGCTACCCAGCTCTGCAAAGTTGTAGGGCTTGCACCAGGAAAGGGCCCAACTTATCCAAGCGGGTCCCCCCACAGTCACCTCTCACCCTGGGCTTGCCATGCCTCTTCTAGCCCAACCCCCCACTTTCGCTATAGGCTGTCAGCTGTGCAGTGTGAACTCCGGGCTCTAGCTGCAGCCACTGGATTGCTCCACTGCAGCACCCCCCGTGTCCCCCACTGCGTAGCCAATCTGCTGTGCAAGGACACGCACCGACCGCAGTGCTGGGGAAGGAATGGAGACAGCTCGTCGGGCCTGCGTGCCTCTGGGCGAAGAAAAAGGGGACCAGTTCCTAGTCAAAGGAAAGCAGAAGTCCCCCCGCTTCTAGCAGGAGGATCCCCATCTCCTTAGCTTTGAGAAATGGAGCTCAGCTATTTCAGTTCCCGAATTATGCACTTGTCTGTCACCCTTTCTCCCAGCCTGGGGCCGGGCTGGATAAAAAGAACAGAGCAGTGTTTTTAAGTACAGATTTGCAATCACAGAAAGGTCTTGGATTCCTTTATCCACTAGCTGTAGCAGTACAAGGGTTATGCCCCTTGTGGGATGCCTGCCTCCATGTGGCAACACACACACACACACACGCGCGCGCTCTTCAGCAGGTCTGACGTTCCAGCTAGCAAAGACGGGGGTGACACCCACTAGCCAGTACAACCAGGAGAGCAACTTGGCGTTAAAGCAGCCGTGTCCCACGTTTCACCTGCTTCAACCTTTCCTCGCACACAGGCTACTTACCGGCTGCACCAGGACGTTGTTTTTGCCGTAGAGTAGCGTGGCTCTGGAATTCTGATGCAAAGACTCCACATAGTCTCTGGCAGACAGTGACGGCCGGTCGTCCATGCTGCCACTCGAATGCCTTTTCTGAATCTAGAAGGGACCGGCACAGGACAGCTCTGTGAGCGGATTTCACCGCCTCCAGCCCCAGGAGAGCCCAGCATGCAGAAGGGCTTCAGGCCCACCACAGCAAGAAGGGTCACTCTCTTTTCTTTGTCTTTTTCGCCCTCTAGGTCACCCGTCTGACACTAGCCAAGGTCAGCCCTGAACCCATGGTATGCCCAGGGCTGCAATTCATTTGCATAAAATGCAGCAGACTGCAGCTGCCTTCATTTTTCATGTGGAGTTGCCCCCCCCGAGAGATCTCCGAACGCAGTGCTCCATCTTGCTCCAAGCAGCCAGTAGCCTCCATGGGCTGCGTTTTGGATCCTGCTGGAAGGAGCCTGTTGTTGCAATGATTAATTTACACTTCTCCAGCCTCTCTCATTTGCAGAGCTCAGTGCACTTTGCAAGCCAACTAAAGAAGCTTCACTACCCGTCTCTCCCCCCTCACCACAACGGGAGCCAAGTGAGATGCAATCCACCCCAGCTGTCCGCCAACACTCACACAGAGAGCAGGGCGCTTCGTGGGAGAGTCCTGGCGACAGTGTGAGCTGTGAATGCGATGCCTCTGAACGAGTTCGTCGGCGGAGGGGTCAGTCCAGAAGTGATCCGCCGTCTTCATCTTGGTGTACTCCAGCGCGCAAGGCCCCACTGCACAGGGGGGAGATTTAAAGACCAAGCAAAGGGCAGAATCATCGGGCAACATTCTCCCTCTTGGATCCTCACAGTGAATGCCTCAACTCCGACATTTTGGGAACAGAGACGGTGCATCCCAGGAACCCGAATGTGACACCAAGAGACACAGCTCAATTCCTGGCCTGCTCCAGGGGCCGTGCAGCGGTGTTCTGGCCGTTGCTCAGGCTGGGTTATAAGGTGACTAACCAGCTGTACAGGATACTATCTTGTATAATGTGTGTAACCCCAAGAATAAATCCACAGCTCTGAGCGTGGGAAGCCGTGCTTAGGTTACAGCATTCCTTCCAAGTCTTCATTTGAAAATGGTACTTGGGCACATGGAAGATATATTAATGGTCAACACTTCAATAGCTAAGAGAACCAATGGCAGCAGCTATCCAGCATATGCCATTGGTGGCCAGTCGGCAATTATTTCGAGTACGGTAAGAGTTCTTTTTAAATGTACTCACGTAATTCCATCTGCCCACCCCAGCTGCGGCAAGACCCATTAAAAGTCTGTCGAGTTCTCATGAAAAGATGGTATTGCGAGTATGCAAGAGGGGGAGAAGGGGGGTGTCTGCCTGCAAAGTCAGCTCTGAGACTAGGTTAAAAGATAAAGTTACCCAATAAGGAAGCAAGAATTGGTCCATCTACGGGATCCATCAGGAGAGCTTCTTTCTCATAGTATTTACTAGAAGCAAAGAAAAAAAACCATGTTGCTGGCATATGTTCTAAAGTCAGACAGGGCTGTTTTAGCCATAAATTGCCCTATTCTTTCTGCTCCTCTGTGCTCTGCCTGCATCTTTCTGCATCCGCTATTGCTGATGAGAAAGGACAGCAGGTCGTTCTCCCCCTCCAGAGTTAGGCAACCCTCCTCCAGCCTCCATCTCCATCTGACACAATCCGTACCTGCCCCTGCCTGGCCCAAACTAAAACATTAGGAGCCCCAATGCTCAGGGTCTCTAGGGTGGGCGATGCCCAGGCAGAGCCTGGCCCCTGGCGTTCTCTCACTGACAGCAGGACTTAAAGACTAAATGAATCCTGCTGGCCTAGTACTAAACCCCTCTATTTCAGCAAGTGTGTGGGGGAGGTCACTGAGTCACAACCCTTGACTACCCCATTAAGAACAGGGTCTGAATTGCAGATCCTGGGCCATGGCTGAGCTGAAAGAGAGAAGAAAAAATATTGCTTTGTGCTGGTCCTATGGTGCCTTCTGATCAGCGAGGCACAGGAAAGTGAAGCCAGCAATACTGCCAGCCCCGCCCAGCCCAGCTCAGCCCAGGGACGTTGGCTTTACGGCGGGCACGGCTGGGGAGCAGCTAAAAGGAAACAGCTGGCCCACACCAGCACTCACCTGCTGTTTTCTACCAGGTAATGCACGATTTTATCCAGGACCTTTTCGAAGAGGGCTGTGCGGATCCAGAGGTGCTTGATGGCCTGGGGAGACAGGTTCGGCAGCTTCTGCACTTTGCGCACGTTCTCCTGGACGCCTTGTACCTGGTTTCGTCTTCAGAGACACAAGGCAGAATACAGCATTGCAGACTTCCCTTCCAAACCAGAGCAGCGTGCTGAGCCATGGGCAATGGGCTCCCTGCTCCACCACTAGTGCAGGGCTGGCCCACCTGCCCTGCCCCGCCCCCATGGGCAGCTAACACCTGGCAGGTTGGCTGCCTGGTGTTGGCTGCCTGGTGGGGAAAGCCCATGGGAAAGTCCACCTGTGCTAGGGACCATCACTTGGTGACAGATCTCTGCAGCTGGTCCTTGTGCTCTTCTCGCTCCTCCTTTCCAGGGAGCCTGGGTCAGAGTTTTTAGACGTGACCTTGTTAAATTAAATGACCAGTTATAAAGAAATGGAACTGAGACAATACAAGGGCACCCCAAGAACAGCTGCTGACTTAGGCCCTGATTCAGCAAAGCACTGAACAGGCTTGGAAGGTTTCGATTTGTATCGGTCCGTGTCGGCAAACATCAATTTCACCGTACACACAAACCAATGAAAAACTATTTCCATCAGTAATCAGCAACATTTACGGAGAGGCAAAGAAAGAAAAATGCTGTTTGAGAACTTCTTAGAGTTTGATTTAAGAACATAAGTACGGCCATCCCAGGCCATCCCAGGCCATCCCAGGTCAGACCAATGGTCCATCTAGCCCAGTACTCTGTCTTCTGACTGTGGCTATTAACTTTGCAATGTGATGTTGACATTTGTGTTTCAATGGTTATAAAGCTTTAACTTTACGAATCTTAATGTATATGGTCATTAAATGATTATTGTCTATTCCCCCCACCAACTTCCCACAACCAGGAAAATGTAAATTGATAAGAATAGAAAAATGCTTTAAAATAACATTGCTATTATCCACTGAAATAATAAAATAAATACAAATCAAACTGTGCCAAGCCTGCACGTAAGCAAGTCCAGTCGAGCACCCACATGCCACAGGTCTCCAAGCTCCATTTTTGAAGGCGACTCTGACACTTTGGGGCCTACGTCTCATTGAGAGGCTCTAGGATTTGGGCCTAAGTGCTTTGAACACAATCTTTGTAAATCCTTCATGACCAGCTTCTGGGGAATGTTTCTGGTTTTTGTCGCCACTGAGGCTCCAGAAAGCAGATGGCCTCTTTACAGCCCGGGCACTGTACCTCCAGCCTGGTCCCCAGCTCCTCCACCAGGGCCAGGATTCTCAAACGCGGGGACCTCCCATTAGGCATCTGACTCAGTGACCTGACTGTCAGAGGTGCCCTGCACCTCCAACCCCCACTGGCCTCAGCACCTCTGAAAACCGGGTTCTTGTGAAGATGCCAAAGCAAAGATGTTGGTGGCTAACTTTGGGCCCCCAGGTTTGAATATCGTGGCCCAAGTCTCCACCCAGCACAGGTGCAACCAGGCAGCACCCAAGGCGCTGAGGCAATGGCAAAAGCCTTACGTGTTCTCGATGAGCTGTTCCAGATCTTGGACCTTTCTAGAAAGATCTTCTGCCGGAGGGAAGCTCTTGCCCACCTTCATGAACAGGGCTGCGATCTTGTTACTGCGCAAGAACCCAGCTGCTCTCCGCTTCAGGCTGTGCAGGACGCAGGCTTCCACGGCAGCTGCAACAAAGCCAAAGGGTTACTCAACCCATCGAAAGCCCCCCAAACAGCCTCCCCAGGAAACTAACTGGCCCGTAACTCGTTGCCTCGGATGTTTCCTGCAGCATCCGTGGTCTCGCCCTACAGGCGGAAACCTTCCCTGAAAATGAATCCGACTCTCACATTCTGTGCCGCCTAAACAAAGGAAAGATCCAAAGACATGCACGTCTGGCACAGCAGCAGGGACAATCTGACGGCTATGCCTGCAAACACACCCATTTAAAGAGAACGTATGGGACTTGTGCTGAAGTGAGAACGTGCAGACTTCCTGCCTCAGTGCCGGGAGATGGATTAGACCAGTGGTTCTCAAAGCCGGTCCGCCGCTTGTTCAGGGAAAGCCCCTGGCGGGCCGGGCCGGTTTGTTTACCTGCCGTGTCTGCAGGTTCGGCCGATCACGGCTCCCACTGGCCGCAGTTCGCCGCTCCAGGCCAATGGGGGCGGCGGGAAGTGGCGGCCAGCACATGTCTATGACTTTTACTAAAAAAACCATGACTAAAACGTAGCCTTAATTATAGGCCAACAGCTGTGGAGAACTGGGAAATTTCTGATATATTTTTATGAAAAATAGGGGTGACTTGGTTTCCCCTCTCACCTTGCATTGTTACCCCTTGAGACGGAGGGGGTTAATTTTTCTTGAAACAAGACTCGCAATGCAGCAATGAGGGGAAGTCAACTGAAGCAAGAACCAGCTACTAGAAAGTGAATCATGGGGAGGGGGCAGTAACAAGGCTGCAGAAGTACCAGCCCTTGGGGGCACTGGCTGGTTTTGACAGGGGTCCAGTGGGGAGCAGACAAAGAACTGAGAAGCGTAGCAAGTGGCAGCCGGGAGCTCTCTCTGGCTGGATCCAGGAACTGACATGACACTGACCAGAGGGTGTGAAGGACTCTGGAACCTGCCAATGTGTTCATGAGGAAGATGGATCACCCCAGGTAAGACGGGCGTTCATACAAGCTGTGTAAGGTTTCCAAGGTAGGCTTTTGTTCTAAACAAACACCTCGCTTTCCGAAGGCTGGCGGGTCACCGGCGCACCCTGGCATCGCCCCGGAGAGAGCACAGAGCCAGGTGCTGAACTAAGCTCAGGCTTGCTAAGGTGATCAGGGAGTGGCAGGAGGAAATTGAAGCTTAAATCCCTGGTCTGCCAGGATGGATCAGGGGCCCACCCTGAGAAAGGTGGCGGCTAGAGTGGGGTGCCCCTAGGAGGTCACAAAGTGGTCAACGGTGCAGTTACTTCAGGCACCGTGACAGGGTCAACAGATGAAAAGTGCAGCCAACCCACTGGACGATACACAAGCCCGTTCAGTGTCCCTGGCCCTCGCTACATTGCTAGCAGCAGGCTGGGTTCCCTGCAAGCAGGCAGAGCGTTTCTGTATGTTCAACGGGGGGTTTGCTTCCAGCTCTCCAGTTACCCATGTGGCCAGCTCTCACGGACAATTCGTTAAGTCCTCGGCGTTTATAGGTGTGTTACAATATGAGCAAGAGGCACACGGAAACTGAAGGATTTCCACGGTAATACAGCAAATTGGGCGGTTTTCTAAATACAAATCACAGTTCTCTGAGCTAAGTTGGTTCCTATAGTCTACAGGTAGGAGAGACTCTAAATACGTGGACCCCCAGTAAGGCCAGATTGGGTTATTAATTCAATTGGAATGAAGTGGCCTTCTCCCCAGCTTTAGTGACTCACTTTACCAAGGCAACTAGTGACTTGTATTGCAGCAGCTGGTGCACCGCCCTAACTTCTCCAGGCCGATTCCACGTAATACGTGCGTGTCCAGTTTTGCTGGAAGGGGATGTTACCCACCAAACAAAGCCCCCAGAGAGCGCTAAGGAGAATCTGCCGGTTCCTGCAGCATCCCAAGTGATGGAGGGCACCCCATGAAGTGGTTCACAGCCCTCACGCTGACCCCTGGCAAAGGGGCAAATTAATCCACAGCGACTCCTCAGAGAACAATGCACCTGGACACTGATTTCACTGGCAATTTACCTGTTTGAGCCTCTGGGGATGGAGGAAATCAGGATAGATGGCTGATGTCAAACAAAAAACTTACTCAGTAAGCTGATCAGACTGCTGGAAATTACACAACCCCACCATTCTACAAGCTAGTGACCAGGGTGCAGATGGGACAAGCTTTCTGGCAGACACACACCGTTCCTTCTCTCCAGAAGGACACATGACAGAGCCAGCCACACTAGGGATATTCTGCACCAGCTAAGCAGACGCACTGTGTGCTTCCTGTGTTTGTAAAAGTGGTGGGTTTTTTTGAATGGCTGAGCAAGTCTACGGAGACACGCAAGGCGTTTCACCTTGTCATCATCAGCTCCCAGGTGGCTCCCAAGGCCGTGAAAGGAGGCGTCACGTTATTTCAGCCTTGCTTAGCACTACATCTGAGCTCACCACACGGCATAAGCAGGGAGTTTTCAGCTGTGCGGGTGTGTGATGTACTGTCAGTCCTGATCTGACTGAACAGATAAAAGCACCAGACAGGAGACCGGCCTAGGCCCGTTCACTCGAGAGATCCACTCAGAGCAGCTAGCTGGATTTCAGATATTTCAGTAACGCACCGTATGAATTCTCCTCAAGTGCAGACAGCACAGACTGAGCTGGGAGGGATCCCCCTGGCTGACTCCAAGGGTACACCGCACTCAAACACCCTCAGCTGGCCTGCACCAGCCGCCTCAGGCTCACGGGGCTCGGGCTGTGGGGCTAGAAAACTGCACTGTAGCCATTTGGGCTGGGGCTGGAGCACAGGCTCTGGGACCCTCCCGCTCACGAGTCCCAGAGCCCAGGCTCCAGATCGAGCAGGAATGTCTACACTGCAACTGGATAGTCCTGCAGCCCAAGCCAGCTGCTCCGGGTGTTTTATGGCAGTGTGGACAGACCCTAAGGACAAGCTGCAGTTTGACTGCAGGGTAATTGCTTCAAAATAAGACCGGCTTGTGTTATTGGCTTTGGGATCTAGACGATCTAGGAGGCTGTAAAACCCTGCCAGTTTCCCTGGCATTCATCTGCAGATGCCGGGCGGCTCACTACATGCAGGACAGTTACCCACAACTGGCCCTGCAGTGCCGTGTCCACCACCTGTCTTCATTGTTTTAGTCCCGTTTCATTTTCCTGTGCCCAGCTGGCACTTCACACAACAGGGGAGAGAAAAAAACCTCTGCAAAAAGCCCACGCCCCTTGTGGCCTCAGGTAGGCCTGCAAGTGGACCCTTGCCTCAGTTCCCCCCTTCAAGGGTCTTTTTACATAAACTCCACACCGGCTTTCAAGAGTGCAGTGACTACAGCCCTCCTGCGGGTCTGATTTTATTCACGTGAAGTTCACAAATTAATACAATCGTCTTCCAGCCTGGCTACACACTTCCCCCCTCCTCCCCGAGAGCTGTCCATCCCCCACCAACCCCCGCCGCTTCCTGCTGCCCTTTCTAGGGGAGTCGGGCAGTCCAAACGCAGGTGGGCCTCCTTAGGAACTGAGGTTGGCTGGCCCCACGCCTGCCCCAGCCCTGTTACAGGCTGTACGAAGATCCTGCGGCTATTCAGATTAAGCAAGTGCCTGTTATGGTTCAGTTCGGTGTGTCTCTATTGGCTCACTCCCGGCAGGTGACACAGCT